GCAACATAGAGACAATCTACCCTCGAGCTCTGGTTTTGGCCGGCATCAGAAACTACATCGACAGAAAGGACTACCGCTCCGCATTCCTTGCCTGCCGCAGCCAGATGGTAGACATGAACATCCTCCATGATTATGCACCTGAACAATTCCTGGAAAACGTTGCATTATTTGTGGATCAAGTGAAGAGAGTCGATTTCATCGATGAATTCCTATCCCGGCTGAGGTGAGTTAACGGCCTGACTTTTCCTCTCGAGAGCCTTGCTGACCGGCCCTCAGTGAGGACGACGTCTCGCAAACCTTGTACAAGGACACCTTGAAGACACCCAAGGAGGTTCAAACCACAGTTCAGCCGGAGAGTACAGCCTCTTTCAAGCCGACAACCAAGACCAGCAAGGTCAACCGGATCTGCGATGCGTTTTTGGCCACCCTTGAGAAACGCTTAGACACCAACTTGCATAACCTAGTCACTGCACATGTTTGCAAATCGCCACCGGATCTCGAAGCTGGGCTTCAGCTTGTCGCTCGCCTGAGAGGTCTGATTACAGTCATGAGTACTCCTTTGCCAGTTGCTGACAGTCCTACAGGACAAAGCGCGGAGCAAGCAGAGGATGCAATTGAGCACATGTGTTTCCTCACTGATGCTCACCGTCTATACGATCATGCATTGGGTCTCTACGACCTTGAGCTCACTTTGTTGGTTGCTCAACAGGCTCAAAGGGTAAGATTGGCGCCGTCTGGCTGGCGAACGAGTGTCTAATTTCGTGCAGGACCCCCGAGAATACCTCCCATTCCTGCGGAAACTTCAGCAGCTTCCCGACGATCGACGCCGTTTTGAAATTGACAACTATCTTGGCCGCTGGGCCAAGGCTCTGAAGCATCTCCACACTCTGAACGCCTATGACGAGATACGCGCTTATGTCATAAAGCATGAGCTGTACAAAGAAGCGATTGACTTGTTCAAATATCAGCCAGAGCAGCTGCGTGACATAACACATATCTATGCTGACTTCCTGCACGACCACTCCAAATACAAGGAAGCAGGAATCGGTACGTCTCTCCAGTCTTAGAAAATGCCGCCGAGTAACTCGCGAGCACACTGATGCTGACTTCTTTCTAGCTTACGAGTCTCTTTCGCTCTACGAAGATGCATACAAGTGCTATCACCTGGCGCACCTCTGGCGCGAGTCCCTATACTGTGCCCTAATGGTTCCTCTATCGGAAGCCGACCTCACCGCACACGCGCTTGCTCTATCGACTACATTGACAGAAGAAAGCCGCGACTACGTCTCTGCAGCTCAAATCCACGCAGAGCACCTGCACGACATCCCCGCAGCCGCCCGCCTCCTCTGCCGCGGCTCTCGCTTCGCAGACGCCACGCGTATCCTCGCGCTCCATGGCAAAAAGGATCTGATCCCGGAGATTGTGGACACAGGTCTCGCAGATGCCATGGGAACCACGACGGACCTCCTCGCCGACTTCAGGTCACAGTTGAACGCCCAGGTTCCACGTATCCGAGAACTACGTGAACGCCGTGCTGCCGATCCCCTGGCGTATTTCGGTGGTGATCCCACCACCGGCGACCTCGGAGTCGATATTCCAGATAACGTCTCTCTGGCTCCCACGGACGCCTCCACACTGGCTGGCCGCACCATGTTCACGAGGTACACTGGCAAAACGACATCCTCACGGCACACGTCCAAGACCCGGCGACGGGAGGAGCGAAAGCGGGCGCGTGGTAAGAAGGGTACGGTCTACGAAGAGGAGTACCTGGTCAACAGTGTGCGGCGACTCATTGAACGGGTCAACTCGACTGTTCCCGAGGTGGAAACGCTTGTTGACGGACTCCTGCGGCGGGGGATGCGCGAGCGCGCCGTTGCAATTGAAAAAGCTATGCAGGAAGTGCTAAAGATGTGCGCTGAGAGTAAGGACGAAGTGTTCGGCGTCCCGGAGCAAGACGAGAGTGAAAATGCAGAGGGACTCGACAGGGAAGACGTTGACGGCGCCGAAGAAATTAGACCTCGTGGGGGACAGCGCGTGTTCGCTGAGAGTGTCACGGCAGTGCTCGGCACCGGTAATCCAGGGCGGGAAGTCCCACCGGTCAAGGAAATGAAGAAATCTGCCCTGCTGAACTAGTCTCCAGACATGAATGAGTTTTGAGTATGTTTGTGGGGCCACTATCGGCTGAGGTAAATACTGGATAGATAAAAAGGAAATATAAACCCGAAATCCAACAGTGTCTGGACCACGTGCTAATGGACGTCGCACCATGCAATGCTGTAAAATACCTGATCTGCAGTTGTAGCTTAATATTTAGATGTGCATGACTGAACGTTGTAATTAAAACCATAATGGACAATTCAGAAGTAAAGAGAATGATCACAGCTGGGTATCTTTTCGTATCAAGCGCCATGTTCCAGGGCACTTGTACATAGCTGATTGAGATGTTTTGCGGTGCTCATGGCATTTCAAGAAGAGAGGATATCACCCGTTGCGCTGACAAGATGATCCTCCACACTGACAGGACCCTCCCCGACACCAGTCAAAATGACGCGGCTGATGCCGTTCTTCAGGACGTCCACAGCTCTAGAGTCAACCTTCTCCAGAGGCACGCGTGGAGCAGTGACGTTCTTCAAGACATCGTAGAATGGGCCGTCGAACCCTTCCGTGTTGGGGCCCAAAATAGCCTTGACGGTTCCTGCGACCACCTCCGAGTCTTTCTCAAGGTAGTAGATAACGGCATTTGGGCCAGCGTCAAACGTGTAAGCGCACACAGTCCGGTCAACAGCACGGTTGATGTCGTGGACGAGTCTCACGGCAGCTCTAGAGACATCGTTCATGTAGAAGATCGGAGGCCACGAGTCGAGGCAAGTTGCGTGGAAGCTGTTAGAGTCACGCATAGTGATTTCGGCAAAGGTAGGGAAGTCCTTGTTCTGGATTGCCGTCTCAATGGCGGCCATCCGCTCAGGGACAACAGATGCGGCCCGCGTAGCAAAGAGACTCGAGGTAGCAACAGTAGTCTGCATACCCTCTGTACTGGGAACGTCTTTCTTCTCGGCACTAACCACCAGGATGATTGCACGCATCTCAGGCCAATGAGATGCAGGAGCGACTTCCTCGGCCAGACTGTCGCTACCATCTTCCCGCTCGCCAGCACGCCAGGCAACATAACCGCCCATCAGAGACCGACAAGCAGAGCCGGAGCCCTGACGCGCAATGCGGCTGAGCTCCAGGGGAGACTGTGGAAGCTGATAAAGATCCGCTATGGCACGGACAAGTGCTGCGAAACCAGCGGCTGAGCTCGCGAGACCAGCAGCGGTGGGGAAGTTGTTCTCGGAAACAATTCGCAATGGGAGAGTAGACAGTTTAGGCAATGAGGGGTCGGCATTTTCGAGAGCCTGACGGAGGGAGCGCAGATTGGAGAGACAAGCGAGGGTGCGTTTGGAGGACTGAATATCCTGGGGCTTGCCGTTCAAGACGAGCTCGTCTGCGGCGGGGTAGATAGCTGAGCAGGACGCGGTAGTGAGGGTTCGGAGGGAGCGCTGAGAAAGGGTAACGGAGAGCGAGGAATTGGTCGGTAGATTCAAAGATGCATCTCTTTTACCCCAATATCTAGAGTACCCTGTTAGGAGAAAACGAGAATCACCACAAGATGGATTAGGGGGTCGACAGTCAACTCACTTAATAACAGCAATATTGACCGGGGCGGTAGTGGTAGTCCGATAGACGGTACGATCAGAAGTAGCGGCCATCTTGTTCGAATGCAAGGGAGTTGCGTTTCTGTCGAAAGCAGGGGGGAAAAGTGGTGTACTATAAACTCAATTGTTGATGAGGGGCTGTGGATTATTTGACCATCTCGGGCGTTACCCTTTCGGGCAATCAGCGCACTCTACAGTACGGAGCAGTGCGGTGTACCTCTCGAAAGGGTCGGCGGTGAAAGGCGGTCAAACATCCCGAAATCCTTCTCCGCCTTCTGAATCTCTTGACTAATCCAGCAATTTTTATGGGTGCTTCAGTGAGATAGATCCTGAGATCGTACATCTTGTCTTGGATTGGTTGTCTGCAATTCACCAAAATGGGCGCCGGTGCAAGTACGCCATCCGTTCCCCCTGCAGACTCAGCTCCCGCTGCAACCTGTCCTGTCGATCACAAAACCCGTGAGGTATGGTTGCAGCAGCACAAGGCTTCGGGCGGAGCTCCCCATCCTCTACCTGGCGAAGAAGAAGAGAAAGCGAAGACAAAGCTTCAGCGGCCTTTGTCCACCGATCGTGAAGTCAGCAGCATACCACGAGCCTTCGATGCCTCGTCACGAGCATCGTCCTCCGAAGCTCCCGCCGCATGTCCGTCGCCGTATGCCGCATCGCACGGCACACCATCGAATGCAGAGGCCGAGACGGGTCATGACCAGAATACAGGCAATTGGATCTATCCATCTGAGCGACAATTCTTCGAGGCTCTAGTACGGAAAGGAAACACACCTGCGACCACAAGCTCCGCGTCCGAGCTGGCAACAACAGTAGCATCGATTATCCCCATCCATAATGCCGTCAACGAGCGTGCCTGGAGGCAGATCCTCGAATGGGAAAGTCGGGCGCCGTCGTCAGATCCTGGTAGCAAGAGATGCGGTGGACCAAAGCTGCATTCATTCCGCGGGCTGGGCGTCGATCCCCAGTTTCTCAGTCCCCGCGCCCGGTTTAATAGCTTGCTAGGATACCAAAAGCCGTTCGACCGACATGACTGGGTGGTAGAAAGATGTGATGGCGAGCGTGTTGAGTACGTCATTGATTTCTACCAAGGGAAGTCACCAGGAAAGGACAGCGGTGCAGCTGGATTGACGGCCAACGCGGGGCCAGGGAAACTCAGTTTCTACCTCGACGTACGGCCAAAGCTCAATACGTTCGAGGGCTGGAGGATGAGATTCAGACGCTTTACGGGGCTATAGAACACGCGTCTATGTCGACCAGTTAACTGGATTGTTTATTATTCCCCGCTTGCACATATAGAGGCGAAAAGGAGTTTGGGTGTATATTAGCAGCAATTATCTCGATGTATGTTCTTGTATAACACAGCAGCTATGTATGATAAGGAACAAGCACGCAAAGCAGGACTCTTAATGAAATATTCTTCACTCCAAATACGCCTGTCGTTCATCAAAGGAAACAAGTCATGAGTGTGGTGAATCGGTACCAGCAATTCAAGGTAAAATCATACATGGAATCGTACAGGTGGGGATATCGGTCGTAAGAGGGAAGGTGAAAGGCTAGTCGGTTCGAGAAAGGCCAATCGAAGTAATCCGGGGTGTCCGATACAGTCATAGCAGACTATCCGAGTGTGACTGCTAGGACAATAATGACCAAAATCACGGCGAGAATAAGAAGGAGGCAGCAAGCCTTGTTCCGAGCGTTCTTTTGGTATCTGCTGGCGCTACGAAGCTCGACGTTCGCGCCCCGAGTGTCCGTAGTGACTCTCTCCACGTTCTCGCTAATGATATCCAGCTGGCCTCCTTGCTCGTGAACAATATGCGCGACGTCACGGAATAGTTCATTCAACTCGCCCACGCTTTGCTCAATGTTGCGAATCTCCGCTTCGCGCTCAATGATAAGAGCCTCCTGGAAGTCCACCTCATCTTGGTTGGCGAGACGAGGCTGCTCCTCGAGCAATTGTTGTTGCTCATGGGAGGTACCATCTGCTGGCGCATGCTCTCCCTCCTCCACTGCCGTACGAGCGGCAACTGCAGACGCTCTTTGCTTCTCCAAAGCTCGACGCTGAACGGTCTGGAACTCCTCCAGTGTCGCCTTGAACTCCGAAGACAGCTTCTGTTGAGTCCATTTTTGTGAAGGCTAACGAGTCATTTAGTATTAGTCGCAGCCAAGGGGAGCAACACAATATATTCCGGCAACATACATTAACATCCTCCCACATCTGGACTTTCTTGATCCCTTCGCCTACATGCTTGAACCCCGATCGAGTTTCCTCGAGGAGATTGTGAACTCGTTCCCGCACCCGCTCAGTGTCCCTTTTCGTTCCTAGAAGCGCGATCTGGTCCGACAACCGAGTGATATTCGAGGTTAACGTGAACAACTGGTTTGAGAGACTCTCTGTTAGACGGTCAAAGTCGGGGTCATCACGGTAGTGAGGATCCTCAGAACGGCGCATAGTAGTAGGCTGCGCCTCTAGTGAGTTCAAACGATCGAAGGACATGATGTGCGTCGTTATGTTGGAATTAAGTGATAGAGGGGTAGGTATGTTGCGGCAGGTGATGATGCATCAACATGCGGAGGTTGCCTTGAAGGAGCACTGTTGATGCCCGGATCTGCAGGCTTCCATCACATGATGGTATCTAGTGCGGCTGTGCCTTGGAAATCTGCAAGCGGAATAGCGTAATCTACTCCGTACCTCCATCATCTAGCCTCGTCACCTGACCAACACGGTTGTGGCTGGTGTGTTTTGATGCTTTGCCCAAAAAGCTTCAAATATTATTTTATCGTCGCATTCGGGCAAGTTGTCAACGCATCGGCCTCGTTCCTGGAGCTCCACAGAGGCGCCATTGTACCTCAGTCTTCCATTCCCTTGGTATAGGGTTCAAATCGCTCGGCGACTCTGATCATGCTCTAAATTTCTTACGTCTACTTCTCTACCTAGAGATCTCAGTGTCCCTCTTTCATTCTTCATCATGGCCGCCGCTAGGCCTCGGCCGTATAGGCGCATTCTGACATCTGTGTTGCATCGTAGATTTGTCCATGCGTCTGCCCTGGCGCTTTCAGTCTGCTATTTTGTTGCATTCCTTCTCGGAGACAAATCATCCTGTAAGTGGCATGATTTACAAGTGGTCAAGTTCTGCATCGGGCTATTCCTTATAGCTGCAGTTGATAGCTGACTCGTCCCTTCTCTGTTAGTTTTATGGGCATGGTTCCCAATTGGAGCATGCGGTTTCCGTGCAGTTCTTCTCTTTCTCTCCAGTCTCGTCGTTTTCGTTTTGCGCGTCGGTCAGATGCATCTTGGGTCGAGAACAACTGCATCACCGATCGGCACGTTTAAGTACCTTGTCCCCCTCAACGTCATACAAACCTTCGGGTGGTACCTGTTCTCGGCTTGGTGGTTCAGCGAGATCTACAAGTGGTCGTGTCCTACAAGTGCGCAACTTGAATGGGTCAAACGGGGCAGGTATGTTCCAATGGAGTCGAAATGGATTCTGCAGGACTATTCTAACCTAGAGAGGAATCAGGCCACACGAGCGAGCAACACTGAACGAGAGACCGATCTATCTTCATACCTACCATGTGCTGTTGGCAATTGCCCAGTCGATCGTCCATCTCTACTACGACTATGACCGCGTTCCGATCCCTGTGGTTAAGCCAGACTCTGGTGCTTCAGACCGCAGAACTCATCCGTTAGAGCCAGTCTCCAAGCGCATCCAAAGGGCTTTACCCGAAATGATCAGGGGTGGTCTCGCAAGGAGCGCACTTGTTGCAGCCATTTGCCCGTTCGCCTACGTCCTACTCCTCAGGCGGCCAGCATGGAGCTTCACCTTGTATTTCGCCAAGCTGTTTTGGAATTTTCCTAGATCTGCAGCGGATCCTCCTGGTGTTATTCCTGACTTTGGGTTTGGCCTTATGATTCGGACCGCCATATCCGGAGGACTACTGACCCTTTGCTGGCAATCCGCGAACCTTTTCTTCTCGATGTTTATCAGCAAGGAACCTCTCAAGCTGGGTCAACCCTTGACAGCGGAAGCAAAGGATCCTAACGGCAGCCTACTGACCGGCCTAAAGGCGAAGAAGGAGACAGTAAAGGCCTTTGCATTCTGGGAACTCTGCCTCATCAGTCAACAATTTCCTGATCGGCGAAAGGCGATCTTCGATGACATCGACCGTGAAGGTGGCTCCACCTGGACTCAGATCCTGCAGTCTGCCACTGAGGTCATCGAGGGCGTTTCTAACAGGATCAATGAGAAGAAAAACCCGACATCAAATGCGAAGCCTGAGGAGCAGTCCGAAAAATCACAACCTGTTCTCCACGCTCTGCCACGCTTAGCAGAGCCTCCCAAGGAAGACAACATCTTTACGAGCTCGCCCAAAGCAGTATCCCGACATGAGAAAATAGGAGAGGCCTTCAGTTCAGCAGCCAAGAAGTATGGACAATCGCCCGACTGGACTCCGACAGCTAGGGCTCGAGCTCGTGATGTCTTTGACCGCGCATCCTCAGCTGTGCTGAGCCCTGAACGAAAGCAGAAATTGCTCGCTTCTTCCCGGGAGCTCAAGATGCTCACCGGACCGACGAGCAAACCAGAGAATGTGCACCCTCTGCTCGCACAGGTCCTTCGCTCGCCGATAGGCCTCATCATCCGACAGACTTACGCCCGCCGGTTATCCGGAATAGTCCTAGGCACACCGCATGCAAATTTATCTTCCATCGTGGATGCTATTGAATCATTGGCTCGCCTCCTCATCGCAAGTCTTGCAGAGGATCAATACGGCAAAGTACAAAGTGATGTTCCTGGGGTTGTGCGCCTCTTCACAGAGACCATCACGGTCCTTGAGCCATTCATCAACGGCGGGCTAGATGCTCACTGGACGGATGTGAACTTCCCACCCTCCAGCGACCCCGACGCGCAGGCCAAAGCGCGTCGTGTTCCAGAGGTGGACCTCGTGCTGGATACAGTTAGGAGTTGCCTCAAAGATCTCTTATCAGCCTTCAACCTATATTTCAAGGATGTTGGGCTGGTCGGGAAGGATCTCCGACTAGCAAAAGAAGCTGCCGGGTTGATTGATGATAAATATTAACTCATCTCTGCCTTATTCCGCGCCCTCCGGCCCGTGGTTCTGATGAGAAGTATTTCTCGTCGGACTTTTTCTCTACTGACATCTACTTCTCTTTCCTGAATCTTTTGCCTTTTTTTTTTTTGCGACTCCGTGGGTCGTTGGTTATGCATTTTTCAGGCGTTTGTTTCTGCCTTTTTCAAGCAAGATGACAATTTACTTAGGACTGTACACTACACCTAACTGCGGGTTCAAGTGACCTCATGCAAAAAAGAAGTACCTCATCTGATACCGGTAACTGAACTAGTATCCTAGCTTTTGTGTATCCTTTTTTATATGCACGCTTTCTTTTGGAGGTCTATATACAGCCACCCAGCACCAGCTAGGCCTTGCACGCAGCATATCTTGTCCTGAACTATGTAGTCCAGACATGGCTCGTTGAGCCGCAGACCGAGAGACCCAAGAGTCTGAAGTAAAAGTAAGTGAGAAAAGAAGAGGGCGAGGAGAATGCGGAGATTGAGATGAGAAGATAAGAAGTGGGAAGTAAGAAGTGAAAACCCAAATCGACCAAGAAACCAAACCGTTTTATCGCGCGGCCAAAATCAGACGAACAGCCTCCCACAGAAATCCCCGGACTCCTATATACCCTTGCCAAAGCCGCAATAGTAGATAAAATAAAGTAGATGAGGTCATGTCATCGTCATTTCAGAATGCCACCCCTGTGTATATCCTGTAAACCCTTTATCTGCTGATTATATAGTCTCCTATTTTCTTTTCTTTGCGTTTCGCAAGCTCACTATCTGAGGTGAGACATTTGAATGTGAAGTGCGGCAGTGGTCCAGACGCTATCAAGTATTAGGGCGACCACGAACGAAGAACTCGAAAGTGATATGACCTAAGTGATCGTGAAGGAAAGGGAGAGAACAGATGTTGGTTGTATGCACGAGAGTCGAGGCTGCTAGAAGCAATGGTTGCTATCAAAGAACTAGAAAGTCCTGAGAATCGTCGCAATCCGTTGCTCCTTCACCAAACGACCTACAGACATACTGGTAGTTGTCAGCACGGGCTCAGAACCTCACTAATCTTATTTGACGTGAGCGACCCCGTCGTTGCTGGCGCAGCAGAGCCTGCTCCACTGCTGTGTGTGGTGTTTTTGGGTTCCGGAGGCGCTTCTTCCTTCATGCACGCGTTCTCCAAGACGTTGGTCCATTTACCACTTGTACCCGCGTGGCTGTGCTTCAGATGCTGTCGAAAATGATCCGCACGGTAGAATTTCTTTCCGTTGTTGCACTCCCCGAACTTGTGCACTGAGGTAAGATGTTCAAACCTGCGATCCCAATCGGGCTGCGGAAAGTTTGGAAACTCCTCGCCGCAGTAGCCACAAGCATCGTGAGAAGGACCCGAAGTTGTTTGCGCGGTTGGGGAAGTTGAAGGGTGGAAAGCGGCTTGATACCCTGGCAAGGCGGCGCACGACCAGGAATGACGCCGCAAGTGAAGAGAGTTCTGATGACGTTCAGCCTCGTTCTTATTCTTGAACCGATTATTGCAGAACTGGCAAGAATATTGCTTCTCCATCTCATGTGCACTAGACAGGGTATTAGTCACTAAAAGATCAGTCACAGCAGATAGGATGTCAAATCATACCGTAGTTCAGCAGGACTGTCGAACTTCTTAGGTTTCTTCGGACAACAGTCACAGATATACAGTCCAGCCATCTTAGGCGCAGCTGATTTTGGCACACTAAGGGTAGTCTGCAAAGACAACTTTCTCGTGCTATCTGCGTTTCGTAGTTCGGATGCGTTAGGGACCTGTGCGTTCCTCACACTTTGCTGACTAGCTAGTCCTCCGGGAGAAGTTGAACTGATTGGCGATTTGTCATGGAGAGCGTCGAAATCAGAATTTGGCGACAACCCCCCAGGTGATGGACGATCAAATGTCGACATGCTCGTCATACTGCTTCCTCCGGTGGACATGGCCGCTGACGAATACGTCCCTGAAGTCCTCAAACTTAATGACGATGCGGCAGACAGACTTCCGTGGCTTTGTGTATAGCCACCATTGACCGAAAGGGTGTTGGTATACGGATGTCCAGATGTTCTTCGCTGAGAAAGATCGCCATTGCTTGTAGTAATATGGGGCGCATGTCTATCGTCTTTCACTGGCTCGCGCGGTGGTGAGGAGGCTCTCCTCTTAATACCTGACTTCGAAGCGTCCAGATAGGGTGGCGTTGCTTCACGGAGGTTGAAATATCGTGAGGGCAACGACTCATCGGTGGAAAATTCACCTTCGATATCCGAAAAAATGCCATGGTCATAACTTCCGCGGTTTGATCGACTCGGTAAGCTAAGAGTTTCTTCACTTTGTGGTGTTGTGCCACCTCCCCGGCGCCGATATACGTCACGCAGAAAGGCCGAGTGGTCGTACTCCACCGCTGAAGAAGGGGCGCTACTCTCAACACTGGGGCTTCGGTGGCCGAGA